CAATGTATAAGACATGGATATAATTGAACAGTAACCAAATAAATGCTGTTAAGGATGATGCTTTAGCAAACTTGTGGCACAAGAGGCTAGCACATATGAGTGAGAAGAGGTTACAAGTTTTGACAAGGTAGTCTCTCATTCTCTTGACCAAAGGTATGTCTCTCGATTCATGTAATTATTATTTATTTGGTAAGCATCATAGAGTTTCTTTTTGTAAAAAGTTTCAAAGAAAAGAAAATAGATTAGAATTAATTTATGCTGACGTATGTGGTCCCATTAAGGTTAAGTCCTTATGTGGTAGTAGGTATTTTATTACTTTCATTGATGATGCTCCACGTAAGACTTAGGTATATATGTTGAAAAATAAAAGCCAAGTATTACAGTATTTTCAAAAATTTCATGCCATGGTGGAAAAGATGATAGGGCTACTTTTGAAGTGTATTCAAACTGATAATGATGAGGAATACACATCCAAAGATTTTAAAGAGTACTATTCAAAGCATGGGATCAAGCATAAGATGATAGAACTTGGAACATCATAGCATAATGGGGTAACTGAAAGGATGAACCGCACCATTATGGAAAAAGGTAGATGCATATTGAGGATGATAAAATTACCAAAGTCATTCTAGGGTGAAGCAGTCAACGTAACTTGTTATTTGCTTAATAGATCACCATCAATTCCTTTGGGCTTTGACATTTTAGAAAGAGTGTGGACAAGAAAAGATACTTCATACTCTCACTTGAAAGTTTCGGGTGTAAAGCATTCATGTATGTGCCAAAAAAGTAAAGCTCAAAGTTTGACAGTAAAGCCACACAATGTGTGTTTATAGGATATGGTGATAAAGAATTTGACTACAGCATATAGGATCTAGTGAAGAGAAAGACAATCAAAAGCAAAGATGTAGTCTTCAATGAAAAAGAAACCATAGCAGACCTTGGGAAAAATGAAAAGACTACCCGAGTTGCTGTTAAGTGTGATGTTTCAACATCGATAGGAGTTCTACAAGAAAGAGCCATAGATGGTGAAAATGAGCAAAAAATAAAACTTGGGGATATGAATGAGCCAACCACAATTAATGATGAGCTAGATGCAATCAGTTTTAAGCAAATGGAGCAATCTTCTCCACCAAAGAATGTTGAGTAAAGAGAGCTACTTTTAGTATCAGGTGGTGTAGAGTTTCAGCCTAAGAGATCTATTAAAGAGCATAGGCCATCTACTAGGTATACAAGTTCAGATTTTATTTTAGTTACCAGTGAGGGAGAGCCAAAGAGCTTCAAAGATGTGTAGGCAACTCCAGATAGAAAGCACTGGTTAAAACTAATGAAAGAAGAGATGAAAAAAATAGTACATATGATCTTATTAAACTTTCAAAAGGAAGGAGACCATTGAAAAATAAATGGGTGTTCAAGTTAAAAAAAGATGGTGACAAGCTAGTGAGGTACAAAGCTCGATTAATACTGAAAGGTTTTTCGTAAAAATTAAACATCGATTTTGATGAGATCTCTCTTATTGTGAATATGAGTTTCATTCGAGTGGTACTAGGATTAGTAGCTAATTTGAATCTTGAGCTTAAGTAACTTGATGTCAAGACTGCATACTTGCATGATGACTGACAGGATAACATTTATATAAATTAGCCTGAAGATTTTGAAGTGAAAGAGAAAGAGCACTTAGTTTGCAAACTGAAAAAAAACTTATATGGCTTGAAACAAGCTCTACGACAATGGTAAAAAAATTTTGATTCTTTTATGGTGAGTCACAGTTATAAAAAAATGATAGCAGATCCTTGTGTATATGTCAGAAAGTTCCCTGATGGTAACTTCATTATTCACTTATTATATGTTGATGATATGTTGATTATAAGACAAAATGCTAGTATGATTCGCAGGTTAAAAAAATAATTGTCTAAGTCTTTTGACATGAAGTATTTAAGTCCAACAAAGCAGATTTTCGATATGAATATTATCCGATATAGGAGAGCTAAAAAGTTGTGGTTATCACAAAAAAAATATGTTGAACGGGTGCTTAGTAGATTTAACATGCAACATGTTAAATCAATTAGCAGTTTACTTGAATCCATTTTCATTTGAGTAAGAAATCTTGTCCGATGATTAAGGAAGAGCAACTATCTATGTCTAGTATTCTTTTTTCTTCTGCAATCGGTTCATTGATGTATCTTATGGTTTGCATATGGCTTGACATTACTCATGCAATTGGTGTAGTGAGCAGATTTCTTTCTAATCCGAGAAAAGGTTTATTAGGAAGCAGTGAAATGGATTTTTAGATATTTAAGAGGCACTTCAAAAATGTGCTTGAGTTATGGAGTTTCACAATAAGTTCTAAAAAGGTTTACTAATACTGACATGGTAGGTGATCTTAATGGTAGAAAATCTACTTTAAGGTATTTGTTATGTCTTGGCAATCTAAGTTATAGAAGTATATTACTTTGTCAACTACAGAGGCTGAGTATATTGCAGTAATCAAAGCAGGTAAAGAAATGTTTTGGATGAAACGTTTTCTTCTTGAATTGGGGTTGAATCAAAAAGAGTATGTGGTGTTTCATGATAGCCAGAGTGCTTTAGATTTAAGTAAGAATGTCATATACCTTGCTAGAATGAAGTACATTGATGTTAGATATCACTGGTTACGTTTGGTGATTGAAAAAAATAGATGCTATTGAAAAAAATTCAGACCGATGAGAATATAGCAGATATGTTGACTAAAACACTTCTTAGGGAGAAGCTTAAGCTCTATGGTAACTTGGCAGAAATGGGTTCCTTAGCCAAGGTAAATTCTAAATGAAACTACTATGGTGATGAATCTCCTCCTAATAGGGTTAAAGGAAGAGATTGTCAGGAAAGTGGGGTCTAGCCCCATATAGTTGGGTTTGGTCCAATCAAAGGCCACAGGCCTCGATCTTTCTTTTTACATAGAACCCTAGCTACTTAATAAAAGAAGGTGGCGCGGTAAACCTAGAAAAGGAAGGGGAAAAAAAGAAGCTAGGAAAATAAAAAGAAAAGAAAGAATGGAGAGTTGATTGAATAAAAATCGATCCGTGGTCCGATTGAGCTGAAATTTTATCAGCAAGTTTATGATTCTGAGTTCTACATTCTAACAGTGAAACATCGGGTTTGAAGCTCTCTAAGAACAAATTCACGGTGTATTTGTTGAGTCACCTATTTGGTGAGTTTTTTTAATTATTTATCTAGTTTTTTATTAGTTTTAGTTTTAGCTAAAAAAAAAACTTTGTATATCCATTATTTGATAATGGAGTTTTTTTTTTCTAGTGGTTTATGATTTTTTTTCTCTATACTGAAAGATTTTTCACGTAAATCTTGATGTGCTTTATTTTTCATACTTTATTGATTGTTGATTGTTGTCTATTATTATGAGTTTATTACGATATATTATTTTTACGTTATTATATTTATTACTTCAAACCCATCAAAACTCGCAAAAAGTTTCACTGCCTCTACATGGTAAGCTAGGGATTAGAAATTAATGACCTCCAAACTTCAATGTGCATATCACCTTCTCTTTTTTTTCTTTTTTATTTCTTCCTCCGTACTCATACTCGAGGGAGTTTTACTCTTCAGTTTGATTAATAAACCTTGATTTTTTTTGCTTATTTAAGTAAATAATGAAATTAATTGATTGATTTGATTGAGATAATTAAGGTTAGTAGTTTTTTTTTTTTTCATCTCATATTTTAAGGTAATGCTTCATTTTTCTTGATGATATTTTTGGTGAAAGTAACGTAAAGCTCAGTTGGAGGGTGATTTAAAAGTGGATGAGACTTGCAACAAAGAAGCTCGAAGCTCAGTTAAGGGCATTGAAGCTACGATGCGGAGTACTGGTGATCGACGCTCAAATCAGCCAGCCAGAAGTTGAGACAAGGAAGACGAGAGCTTAAAGCATTTTTGCGAAGGGAGAGAATGAATGTACTTGCATCCTTTTTTACCTCATGTACATAATAATATATATATGTGACATGAATAGTTGATATTGATAACCAGTGGACAAATAATATTTGACAGTTAATGAACAGCGGACAGGTGGCTTTAACGGGTAAATAAAGTGGATGCTTGACTCTGTTGATTTGAGGAATATAACGGTCAACGTGTTGACAATTTATCAATGTCCAATAATTTTATTTATTTTTATTTTATTCTAATTCTCATCTTTTTTTATTTGGTGACGAGCATAGCGCCGACCGGGTAAGAGAGAGAAACTCTACAAATGAATGATTGGATAAATTAAAATCAAAGTCTAAAGAAGTTGAAATAATTTTGATGATTCACGGGATTGCAGTCACTCATGAAAAACACAAGCAAAAATTTCCCATGAAATGGTGGGGAGAGATATGCCTATGCCATTTTTATCATGTATTGTTTGTAACATTAACATATTCATTCATTTGCATAATTCCATTTATATATCTTAATGACTTAAAAAAGAAGAGAAAATTTAAGTATGGCATTGCATATCAAGCACTCACTTAAAGTTATTTGCTGCATTTAAAAAAATGGGAAAAACAGTGGGTGTAGCATATGCAGCTCAGCCTCAGCTTTCCCAATCCAAAAAAAAAAAGACGTTTTCTTTTATTGCAGTGTTCCCAGAACGCATCCTAACATTATTAATGCCCGGAGCACTTATCCTGGGACTCAAGAGTTTGTCAACCTGGCTGTGTACATAGCGAGAGTAAAAGGAAGATCCGTCCCTGTCCAAGTCCAACCCCCACTCGCTGTTCTTTTCTTGCACTCTCCTCCATTATTACAACCCAAAAACAAAATAAGCTCCTTTCTCGACCGGGCTCCACCTCCGCCTCATACCCTTCAATTGAAATTGACAGCTCTTTCAACCGGTAATCAAATCCTTTTATTTCGGCTAAGCCACTGCCACGTGTTTCCTTTCCATTGGCCATTGCATAGATATCCCCTGACCCACTGGATAAACTCCTTAACACGCATTCCCAACTCTCTCTTCCCGTCACGCAGGAAAAATACATAGTTAGCTACAAGCAGAGGATAGGACGAACCAAACTCAACTTACAGAGAAGAGAGAAGAGAAGAGAAGAGGAGAAAATCCTTTTACCAGAGTGAGTTGTTCAAATGGCGTCCAAGTTGTGCGACTCCTGCAAATCAGCCACGGCCACTCTCTTTTGCCGGCCTGACTCTGCGTTTCTCTGCTCTAATTGTGACTCCAAAATCCACGCGGCCAACAAGCTCGCCTCGCGTCACGCTCGGGTTTGGGTGTGTGAAGTCTGCGAACAAGCGCCAGCTCATGTCACCTGCAAGGCCGATGCGGCGGCTCTATGCGTCACCTGCGACAGAGACATCCACTCCGCTAACCCTCTAGCTCGCCGACATCAGCGGGTCCCTTTGACCCCCTTCTACGATTCCGTCAACTCAGTCCCACCCGTCAAGCCCAACGGAGCCTATAACTTTTTGGACGAGCGTTACTTCTCGGACCGGGATGGAGACGCTGTCGTGAGCACGGAGGAAGCCGAGGCGGCCTCGTGGCTGCTTCCCAACCCCAACCATAAGGTTGTGGAGAGCGCGGACGTGAATACGGCTCAATACGTGTTCTCGGAGATGGATCCGTATCTGGATCTGGAGTATGGGCCTGTGGATCCGAAAATTGAAGCTCAGGAGCAGAACAGCTCTGGAACTGACGGAGTGGTCCCTGTCCAAAGAAAGGGCGTCCAAGCTCCGCTGGCTAACGATCACTGCTACGACATGGACTTCACTGGTTCCAAACCCTTCGCTTATGGCTACAACCCTCATTGTCTAAGCCACAGTGTAAGCAAAGCAGCTTTGATTTTTTTTTTTTTAGAAAATGAAAGCCGCAGGTTCTTATATAATCAATGTATGAATTTTTAATTTTGTTATTGTTTCGCAGGTATCATCATCATCGTTGGATGTTGGGGTGGTGCCAGAGGGAAGTACGATGATGGACATATCAGACCCGTATGGAAGATGGGCAGAGTCAACGCATCAGACGCTGCAGCTTTCATCAGCGGACAGAGAAGCGAGGGTGCTGAGGTACAGAGAGAAGAAAAAGAACAGAAAATTCGAGAAGACAATCCGTTATGCCTCCAGAAAAGCTTACGCAGAGATGCGGCCTAGGATTAAAGGAAGGTTCGTGAAGCGCACTGACATCGAAGTCGAAGTGGAACGCAGTAACATGTATGGATTCGGAGCCGTTCCGTCGTTTTGAAATGAACGTCTCCGCTCTCCAACCTAATCCGCTTCTGCTGTAGTAATATTTTATGTTAACTTTTTGGAATTCTAATTTTCAAGTGTTTTAATTCACTTCGCTACTCACTGGTCAATGTTTATATATGTAATTCTCTCTTTTGTCCCGAGGGTTTATGGGAGAAGGATTTGGGTTTTTAGGTTTCTTTTTTTTTTTTTTTTTTTTGGCAGTTTATTAAATTGATGTTTCTGTTCTATATACAAGTAGGTGACGAAGGTAATGTAATCCAACCAACGATTTGATTTTGTACATGTTTTAATGTAGCAATTAGTGTTTTTTTCCCTCTTGCTTTTATACTATGTTGTTGCATGTGGATGGTGGTGATGATGATGAAGTGAAGAGGTTGATTTTTTAGTTTTTTTTTTTAAAAGGTAATTTATAATTTTATTTCTGAAATTAATTTTTTAAAATTTTATTCTTAAAACAAGGTACTTTTAATTTCAAGTTAAACATTTCATATAAAAAAATCTACAAATCAGCGTATTTAAACCCTACTCACTTTCCTTTTCTCTGTTCATTGGAACTATATATATTATATACATCTCTTTAAAATTTTATTTTTTCTGTTGCCAAAATAATTCTTAAAAGAACTCAATTATCATTACTCACGTTTTTAAAGGTAATTATACGTGTTTCTATCTCCCACCAAATATTACGAGGTAAATGTGTACTCGTTCTCCCGATTTATAAGTTTCAATAACTATTATTGGAGATAAATATTTTATTTATGAACATAAAACTAATTAAACATTTTAAGAGATCTGTCAATAAAAGTTTTTTCCTGCTCAAATTAGTTTAAAATCTTCATTCTTAAAATAGATTACTTTTAAACTTATTTCCATAACCAAGGTATTTTAAACTAATTGCCATGTCATTTTTTATAAAGGAAAATTTTTTCTTGTATTTTTCTTTTTGAAGCTAGAAAAAAAACTCATAATCCAACTGCAACTCCAACCCGTTTCAAAGCAAAAACTTCTATTGTAACCAATCTTGATCTCTTTTCCCGAATTTGTAGAATATTCACTTGACATAGAAGCCCGAGTATGCTAGCCCATTTGAAAGATTCCTTTTCGGCTTTAAGGATACAGCAGGTATGAAAAATACATTAACAAAAAATAAGGCATTGTCAACGGAAGGTTAATTTACGTAGATAAAATATTTACAGATACAAATTTCTGTCGATAGTAAATGAATTAGTAATAGTATTCCATCGGTTAATTTACAATTTTATTGGTAGTAATCGATGCATAATTTTGTTGGTAATATAATTATTTTGTCAGTAAATATTTCATTGGTAACTATGTCGATAATCTCTTAACAAATCATCAATAATCTGTCGATAATTGTTTGATAATGCATCAATAAAAGCTGATTTCTATCAATAATCTATTGATAATTGGTTGGTAATCCATCAATAAAGGCTGATCTTCATTGATAAATTCATTGGTAATTCATCGATAAGTTGTTGGTAATTGCTAATTTCCATTTGTAAAAACAAAAATTTTGTAAGCAAAATCCACTAGTAAAATCTAAATTTCGTTGATAATTTGATTAATTCCATCGGTAATTATTTAAGAAATCTTTATATTAAAAATAAAATATGTTTTATTCTTTTAAAAGTATATTATTTGTCTATTATTTATTGTCGTAATGATTTTGGGGTTCGTTAGACGAATTTAAAAAAAAAAAAGTCATCACCAATCTTTTTTGGTTAGATGTGATTGATTGCCTATTAAAACGTATCATTTTAATAAAATTTTAAAATTAATTAAAACTTATTAAAAAGATAATTTTTTTAGATCTGTGAAAATAATTTGAGTTCGGGAGTCAGTTACGTATAGAGAATTATTAGCCCCTCCACAACGCTTGTTTAAAATGATACCACTTAATTATATGTTATCCTTTAATTTTGACTAAAATAATCTTAATTTTGGTATTTGAAACTTATTTTCTTAAAAATAATTTTATTTTATTTATATTATCTTGGTTGGAAAAATAAATAAGAACCCTATTTATTAAAATTTTTTTGAAAATATTCTAATATTTTAGCAATATTAAAAGGAACTTTCTCACCTAAGAATTCTTAAAAATCACTACTCGAACTTTTAAAGAATCCCATTCTCGATGGTTTATTTTCAATATTTATATTTACATACAAATAATAAAATATAATGTCTTTGATTTAATCCAAATAAATTTCATTTCTTATTTTATTTATTAGAAAAACGAGAAATCTTTATAAAAAATTATTCTAAATGCTCCAATACATTGATGACATTTTAAATAAATTTTTTTCCTAAAGATTCTTAAAGAATCATTATCCGGATTTCTTTATGATTTCATCCTTAAAAAATTCGTTTATTTTCAGTATTGGTGTGTATGAATGAAATATAATGTATATGAATTAATTTATTACATTATTACAATATATAAAGCTTTTTTTTTAACGAGGGAAAGTAAATAAGAAATTTTTTATCAAAAATTATCCTAACTATCTCAATACTTTGGCAATAATTTAGAAAAAAAAATTTCACCTAAGAATTTATTGAGAATCGCTACTCGAACTTTTTTAGAATCCTATCTTAAAAATTTTGTTTTTTATTTTTTAAAATTATTAATACTTAAAAGTTAAGCAATAACATAATTATCTATAAATAAATATATTTCCTAAAAAAATGCATACTTGTTTAAATATTTTATATTTTTATCTGCTTTTAAAAGAATTATTCAAATTAAAGAAAAATAAAAATCTTTGTATTGAAAAAAATTTCTAAATATTCTAATACTTTGGCAATAATTTAGAAGACTTTTCTCACCTTGAGATTTCTTAAGAATTACTACTTAAATTTCTCTAGAATCCCATCATTGAAAATTTTCATTATTATTATTTTTTTAATTTTTTTACATGAAAAATAAAAATAGACACTAATAATAAATTTTTCATAAGCATTATTAACTACTTCAAGGCAAGCATGTTTTATAAAAAATATTATTGACATTAATAAAGTAAAACAATCAAATAAAAGCCCAAAATGCATGAAACCATAACCAAATAAAGTTTTGGTGTTTAAGTCCAAACTCATGTAATCATTAGACCCAGGCCTACCAATCTGGATTTGGGTTGTGGGAACAGGCCGATCAACAAGCAAGCTGAGTCCCAGATTGGATCTAGGACAAAGACAAGTCAAATTCGGTACGGGTTGATTAGTGTGACAATGGATCGAACTTGACCCAATTAACTTTTTTTTTGTTTCACTATAAAAGCTCTTTTTTTATAAAAACATTTTCCTTTTAGCTTAAAAAAAAAACTCTTCATTCTTTAGAAAGCCAAACAGCCATTTCTTAAAAAATTTAGATTCTAGTAGTCTTATGTCATCATTACGGCCATACCTCCACCACCAATCGCAGCTTGTTGATGTTGGTTCAATCCCAAAATTTGCCTATACCTTTTTGATCTTTTCTTTACTATTTTCGCATTGGTTCCACCAAAATCCCTAAATCTAAACCGAAAGTCACAACCTCAATGCCTTGAAATATCCCTTTTTGCCACTCAGTTTGCCATCAGTTTCTCATAGGTTTCTTTCATTTTCTTGTTTATCATTCTAACTAAAAATCTTAGCTTGAAACCTCTTGGAATCCCAAAACCCAATTGACTCGATTTCAACGTTTGTGATTTTTTGTTTGTTTATCCTACTGATAGGTTCCTCACTGAGTGAGGACTGTGGGTTTTCTTTGTTGTTTTTCTTTTATTGTTCTTTTTTTTATCTTTGGGTATGATTTTGGTTGTTTTGTTTTTTATTTTGGGGAAGGGCATCTGGTAACAAGATGGCTATTAATGGTGGTTTAGGGAGTAGAGCTTGGAGTTGGGATAGGCAAAGGTCCATTTTGAGGCTAATAAAGGTTGGGCAAGGTGGTGAAAGGCTTTCTGTTAAAATATGGTGCTAGGTGTTAGAAAAGGCTATTAGTGAAGCTTGGCTTTGTGGTGGTAGATAGCTCCAACTGGGGTTTTAAGGTTGCTGGGTTCAGTACGATTTGGTGATAGGCTGTGGGTTGGCCAAGTGTTGGTGCTAGGTATGGTGCATATGGATTCTGAACTAGGGCTGGTGAAGCAAGCAAGGTTAGGGTCGAGGGTTTTTTGTTAAAGGTGATTTGGGTGTTTTTTGTTGTTTAACCGTGGGTGTTTTTTAGTCTGAGGGATATGGGTGATTATAAGGGCTCTAGATGAAGGAAGTGTGGGTAGAGGTTGGTGCGGTTGAGGCCTTGGTTTGTGAAGGCCAGTCCCCCTCTTTTTTTTTAATGATAGTTCATATTTTTCTTTTATTTGTGAATGGCTATAAAACAATCCAATGTTGACAGAGTAATGAAGCTAGTACTAGGATTGGTGGAGTGTAGGGTAGTGGAGCAATTTGTTGCGGCCAATGGAGTGCAAGGCCAGAACTTGTCTTCTTGTCCATTTTCATTATTTTGTTTGTTTTTCATTTCATTTAATTTTTTTATTTTATGATTTTTCACTTTTTAATTAATTTTATTAATTCCAAATAAAAAAATAAAAATGAATTTGAAATTTAAAAATTAATTTGAGCCTAAAATTGGAGCTCGAGGCCTAAAAAATCGATTTAGGCTCTTATTAGGCCTTTAAGTCCTAGTGATTGAATTTTGACTGAGAATGAATCAAATTAAACTTTAGGATTTAAGCTTTAAATTGAACTGCATTTAAATTCATATAAAATGTTTCAAAAACAATTAATTCGAGATAAGCACGAAACACGTTAATTTAATTAAAATGCTCAAATTAATCCAAATCAAATTATTTGAATCAAACATAAAAATCAAATAAAAGTTGAATCAATTTTGACAAAATTAAGTGTCTATAGTCACCTCTCTTTACAAATGACTGAAAATCAAGAATATAGCAAAGAAATAGACAACAAATTTGTTTAGATTAATAATTCAAAATTTCTCAAAAGTTTTTTTTCTTTTTTAGTTTTTCTTGATTTGATTTTTTTCTTGATTTTTGTTTTTTTTATTTTTTGATTTGATTTTTTTTGTTATTTTTTGATTTTTTTAATTAATTTTTAAATTTTTTAATTAATAAATTTAACCACTTGAAAACAAAAAAACTTAACAACTTTTGAAAATAAAACAAGATATCATGCTTCAAAGTCTTAATCTCAAAATTAAAATAGACTCAACTCGAAAGACTTACGAATCCTACTCGAAAGACTTAGAGATTATACCCAGAGGTCTTAAAGATTATGCCTAGAGGTCTTACAAATCTCAATATCTTTGAAAGCTCCTCTAATCAGAGGCCTTAAAATTTTAAAAATTTAAA